GTTTTAGATTTACAGAATTATTACAAAGATATTACAGAAAGTTCCCATAATACCCCATACTCAGCTTTCCCTAGTATTACCATCTTACATCAGTGTGGTAGTTTTGTCACAATTAGAGGACCAGTACTGATATATTAATATTAACTGAACACCATACTTTATTCAGATTTACTCACTTTTCCTCTAATGTGCTTTCTGTGTTCCAGGATCCCACACTCCATTTAGTCATCATGACTCTTTAGGCCCCTCTGTCTGTGGCCGTGTGTCAGACTTTCCTTGAGTTTTATCACCTCGGCAACTTCGAGGAATATGGCTCAGACATGTTGTAGGGTGTCCCTCTATTGGAATTCGTCTGATGTTTTTCATGATTATGTGTTTGGGGAGGAACACCACGGAGGTAAGGTGCTATCCTCAACACATCATGTCAAGGATTAATGTTGACCTTGCTCACCTGGCTAAGGTAGGGTTTGTCAGGTTCCTCCACTGTAAAGTTACTCTTTTTCTTCTCTTTTTCCATACTGTCCTCTTTGTAAGGCAGTCACTGTGGGTAGCTCACACTTAAGGTATGAGGAGCTATGTTCCACCTCCTTAAGGGCAGAATATCTACATCAATTATTTGGAATTCTTCTGCATGGGAGATTAGTCTGTTCTCCCTCATTTTTGTATTCAATCATTCATTTATATCAGTCTGGACCCATGGGTATTTATTTTATGCTTTGGGTTCTAATCCAATACTACTTTATTAATTTTGTTGCTGAACAACAACTATTGCTTCTCTGTACCACCTTTCAAACCACAGTTGGACAAGGGGCATGGGTGAGGTATAAAAGGTTTAATTACACCAAGTTGGCAACTTTGTTTTGCTTTTCTGGAATGATGGGACGAAAGGAAGTTTCTCCCAACTCATGGATGAGGGGTATGTGGGTTAAAGACCCCAGTTTGACCACCAGCCTCCCCTGCCTCTGCCTGTCTTCACTAAGCAGCTGAATCGGGGGCCTCCCATGGGCTTGATACTGCTCTGGGGGAAGGCATTAATCTCCTTTTCCAAAGAGGATGACCCCATAGATCCCAGTCTCAAGGCTGAAGTGAACAAGTGCTTTAAGAACTCCACGCTCAGCTGGCTGCTGGTTGCAGTGGGGCCCTGTTCTAGAATGCTTTTGTATTCCAAGCCCAGGAGCAAGAAGGGACTAATTCATCAACACCCTTGCCCCTTCACACTCCCATTTGGTCTTCCTACCTGAGCAGACCATGCACTTATTTCCCTTCTACCCGCTGCTAACTCCCCAGCTCTGCCTGTGTAGCTTAGATCTAGGCCATGTGGTCTTCCTGCACCTAAACCACCCCATGTCTCTGGCCTGCAGTGCCCTTCCCCCCTCAACACCCTTGAGCCCTGGTTTCTACTGCTCACAGTCCTAACCAATATCCTGGTTTCTTGTGTAGTTCATCACCCCACAGGTTCTGAGCTCCAAGAAGGCAGGCTGGGTGTCCACTCACCTGGAACTGCTCCTGCCAGTAGACCTGGGCTCCCTGTGGGCTCATGTGTGGGTTGAAGTAAAGGCCTCAGGAAGTTAACGCTAAGGACAGTTTTGTGCCCTCAGGAAGTTAAGGCCAAGGACGGGAGACAGAGCACATGGTCTCTCTGGGGACTGAGCTGTGTAGTCAGAGCACCTTTAGGCCTGTGTGGCAAGAAGACTGTAGAGAGGCTGGGCCCACAGGCCATGACTATTGTGTGCCTCGGGAGGTAGGGGACGCCCACCTTGTCTTGGCCCCATCGGACCTTGCCAGCTCCCAACCCTGGGAACCCAGCTGTGGGTGCTCAGCCAAGCCGTTGGCGGGGCAATTAAAACACTGAATGGGTTCCAACAGGGTTAATCACAGCTGCATTTATAGAGGCGCCTTTCTCTGAGGATCTCCAAGCCCTCACTGTGCATGATCTCATTCCTCCTCTGGGATCCCCCACCCTGGAATACCACCAAGAAGCCGGGGCCACAGTGGGTGAACAGCCGGGTAAGGGCAGTGCCGGAAACAGCCCGGGCTGCTGCCACCCACTTGGTCAAGTGGAATATTTGCTCTAGCAGAGGATAGGGGCCCTCAGTCAATGCACTACACATAAGAAGCCAGGCTACTAGGTGTCCTAAACACCATGTCAAGACCTACTGTGTGCCAGGAACCCAACTGAACAAATTTAGAGCCTCCTCAAGCCCACATCCAGCACAGCTGACTGTCGTGTACAGTACACTGCGATAGGTGCTTTACAAAGTGCGTGGGTTGGGAGTGGCTGGAACTAAACGAGTTGGGGACCTGGGACTGCTATAGGGATGTCTCCCAGAGCAGGTGACCTTTGAGGTGGACTTTAAGGAATGAGTCAGAAGGGAATGGCGGGGAAGCGTGAGGAGCCATGATGAGAAAGCTATGTGACGTGAGGCCACGCCAAGGAACTGGGACTTGGTTGGAGAGGGCAGGTGTCAGAGTCAGCAGAAATTCTCAAGCTAGGAAGTAACCCGTTGTCAGATCACTCCACGTGGGCAGTGGGGCAGAGGGGTTGTGGCCAGAGGAAGGAACACCGGGTAGGAGGTTGGGCCGGTCCAGGTTCATGCCCTTTAAGGATGGTGGCTGAAAATGTGACAATGGGAGCTGGAACTTGTTTGTATGAGGGGACCAGGGAGAGGAAGAAGTCGGAGATAACTGAGCAGGAGCTGGGCAGAGCCAGGGAAGGGAAGAGGCGCAGGGGCAGAGGAGCCCGCAGTGTTGGGGGAGACACCAGCCACTGCAGCCACAGCAGGATGGGGCTAGGCCAGCCCTGAGGGGCCCAGGGGCTGAGGAGCCAGCCTCATGCACACTGATTGAGCTCTCGGGTTAGGAGAGCTTCTGAGGCAGGGGCTGGCGGCCCTCCTGCCTCTCTTTCCCTGGCTTGTCAGCCACACCAGCTACTGCTGTTTCACGGCCTCTCTCCTCCCCCTAGAGGCTCTTGGAAGCAGCGCCGTTTTCACCAGAGAGTGAATGGGCTTGTGGCTTACAGGTCTCTTTGGTAGGGAGTCCCTAGAGTTGCAAGATCAAGCCCTTGGCCCTTAGGCAGGCATGTGAGCCCTTTTAGGTTCTGGGGCAGGAGTGGCGGGGGAGGGGGAAAACAAGACTCACTGATGGCAGTTTCTAGAAACCATGTCCTTCTCGGAGGGTGGGGAGAGGCGTTCTCACAACTGTCTTCACCCTCACGTGGCCACAGTAGCTAGAACCAAAGTACATCATGTCTCAGGCCAGTTGGGGTCCTAGTTCTGGCTCCACCCCTCACAAACTGCAACCCTGAGTGAGAAGTTTTACCTTGTTAAGCCTTAAGTTCCTCTTTGGTAAACAGACCTAAGACCACCCATCTCAGAGCTGTTCTAGTGTGCTAATTAGCCTGATCAGATCATTTATTGTCAAAACCAAGTTTACTATTTACCTGGGTGAGCCAGGAAGTATCGTCACTGAGTAAAGATGGATCTAAAAGTAATTTAAATATTGTAAAACCCTGTGCATACATGTGCAGAGATATTGCTATTACTGCAGATGCCAGGAAGAGCTGTTTGAACTCTATCTAGACCTGCCCTTATTTCTGGGGCTGGGGTCTAATGGGTCTATTTCTGGACTGATGTTGCCCTCCAGCCAACATCAGAGAAGCTGGGGGACTCTGGCTCCTCCTCCCTGCCCTGTCCATCTCCCTTGGACCTTGCCAACCCAAAATGCTCACTCCACAGAAGTGGAAGGATGTGGACCCTGGGGTAAAAGAGGTGGCCTCATGTGAGGGCCAGCTGCCCAACTGGAAGGTATCAGCAGGGGCAGGGGCTAGCCCTAGACCTGGGCTGGAGGTTGGCCCAATACCTTCTCTGCACCAGGATCAGGACTCTGGACAAACTGTTTACCAGAGCAGCGAAGGGCCTATTTATAGCCTCAGCTGCTCTTGTCTCTGGGTCACGGGTGAGGGGCCAGGGTGGCTTGCCTCAGAGCAAGGGTGGTAGTCAGGCCGAGGGGAGCCGGCTCTGTCCAGCTGCCACTGACCAGACCCCTGGACCCCTCTGGATGGCAAAGGAAACCTTCCCCTTCACCTCCTCCACGCTGCGTTCTCTCCGCCTACAACGGGAGTGGCTGGAGTGGGAGGACCGGCGCCAGGCAGCAGCCCAGCAGTGCCGGAGCCAAAGGTGCCCCCCAAGTTCCCGGACACGACTCACTAGGCCGCGCCGCTCCTGCCGAGACCCAGTGGTCCACAATACCCTGTTCTCTGGTGACCTGCAACAGATCCAAGCCCTGTTCCAAGATGAAGATACGGCCAACATGATAGTGGAGACTGTGAGCAACCAGCTGGCCTGGTCAGCTGAACAGGGTAGGGAGCACCAGGTGGGGGCAGAAGAGGAGGGAGATAGAAGAGGTGGGAGGTGGAGAGAGGGGGAGAGTCTCAGCCCCATCCCCTCCCTCCAGACCATAGGCTAGACCATCCCTTCTCACTACCTATTCTAGCTCCCTCCTAAACGGAAAGGAGGCATAATTAGCGGTTTATATGTCTTACCAGAATTGAAGTTGTATTAACATCAATTACATAGGAACACAGTTATATTCTAATGCAATTTTTCTATGAATATACATCCACATATTTGAATATTTTTTACCTTCCACAGAATGAAATTATAATCCACATGCTATCTTATAACCTGGTTTTTTTCATGTAATGTCTTTCTATGGCAATAGCCATAAGTTGACATACTGCACCCCCAAATCAGGGCTTGAATGAGCCCCTCTCCACAGGTACAGCCTGATGCGGCATTTGTGCTCAGCCAGGAGTGCAAAGGGAAGACCAGAGTCAGCTGTTCACCACAGCCTGCCCTGCCTGCTGGTCTCACACCAACGCCAACACTGTCTGTTCTTCTCAGGGTTCTGGGTATTGACCCCCAAGACCAAGCAGACGGTGCCCCTCACCATCACTGCAGCCCGAGGCTACACCGACTGTGCCCGCCACCTCATCCGGCAGGGAGCTGAGCTGGACTCCAGGGTTGGGGGCCGAGCGGCCTTGCACGAGGCCTGTGCCCGGGCCCAGTCCGACTCTGTGCAGCTGCTGCTGACCTTCGGTGCCAAGGCCAATGTGTTGTCTGAGGAAGGCATGACCCCCTTGCACCTCTGCACAACCCCTAAATCCTTACAGTAGGTGCCCGGGGGCTGAGATGGTTTGGGGAGAATGTGTGGGTGTGTCTCCAGCTTACATAGCCGGAAGGGGAGAAGCACCTCATATGCTCATGTCCTCACAACCACCTGGGAGAAGGGAAAACGGGCTCAGAAAGGTGAGTGACTTGTTCAAGGTCACATCAGCTAAGCCCAGGAGGCAAAAGTCCTGTTGCTTTTTGGAAAAACTCTTATTAAGAGACAACTGCAGTCTCTTATTCCCTGTGAACCCTCTGTAGCCAAATTCCTGGCTATTTTGACATAGACATCTAGAAAGATCCAGCCTGATATGAGGCCCCACATACCTCCTTCTTCCACCTTTTTAAGGTCAGCAGTTTCTTGGACCTCCTACATCATGGTATTTGCACTTTAACAAATCAGGTACACAGACAGAGCTGGCCGTGGTAAGGAGTCAAAGGCTCCTGGGAGACACTCCACAGCCCGTATGCTGGGACCTTCTCCCTAGCTTAGATCTAGATCAGTGATGGACCCAGAAGTGATCCAAATTTTCCAGCCCTTCCTTGAGTTCTTATGGGCACGTGGTGCACTTCCCAGCGGACTTTATCCTTTTGAGTGAAGTGAGAATAGTTCTACTTACTAGAATACTACTGAGTGAGCTTTTCAGTGTTACTTAAATTTAGTATTTGTAAACAAAAATTAGTCCATGATTAGAATTTACCAAGGAAATAAATTCAGTAGCTTTGGATAACTGGCTGCTATTCAACTCTTGGCCACTGAGCACACTGCCTACTGGACATGTGCACCGAAGGAGAGCTGGAATCCTGGCCATTTAGGGGAAGGACACTTGGACATCAGGGTTTCGTTGGGGTTGACGAATCTGCTCCTAAGTTCCAATGGCTGCCATTCTGGCTTTTTAATTATAAATTACTGTTAGTTTAGTTTCATCAGTAATATAGTTTGTTGTGTGTTTGTTTTACCCCATGGTGGTTAGTGATATTTGCCTCCACAGTGTTCTGGCCTGTAATTTTTTCATGAACTAGAAGACTGTGAGAAACATGCGCTTCCTAAAATCTGGTTTTTGTTGTTTGGTTTTGTTTGTTTTCTTTAGAGGAAAGGGGAGTAGGTGGGTCCCCAAGTGCCTTCCTTTGTTGGAATGCGTGTGGCTGGTCTGGAAAGGTGGTCTTCAAGTTTGGAGGCAGGAAGAAAATATTAGGACTTGTTTTTCTGGCTCATACGCTTTAATTTTCTATGTTTTATAGTGTACACAGTAGTGGGTTTTCAATTTTTTTTTTCTGCTATCAAAATGTTAGAAGACCACTGACAAATGAGTCAGAACCAGCCCTTGGGGTCCCAGTGGCATTGGGGACTCAGGTTCCACTCTAGGAGAACTGTATAAGGCAGAGTACTAATTCCAGTGTAGCCACTAACTTGCTGTGTGTCCTTGGCTGCACTGAGACCTTTCTGGGCTGAAGTTTTTCATCTGAAAACTGAAGATGCTCCTGGTTACTTTGATGGGCCTTCCAGCTCTGCTGTCTGTCACAGAGCTTCTGTGCGTCTGATGGTGGACACCAGGCTCACCTCCAGGTGCGGGAGGTGGAAAGAAATGGCGTGGGAGGTGGAAAGAAATGGCGTAGGAGATTGACAGCAGGCTGAGGGGTTCCCAAGCCAGGCCTTGGTCCTTCAGGATTTGCCTTGGCACCTTGCGCCCTGCCCCCAGGTGCGCCAAGCTGCTGCTGGAGGCGGGAGCAACCGTGAACTTGGCTGCGCAGGACAGTGAGGTGACTCCCCTGCATGTGGCGGCGGCACGTGGCTTGGAGAAGCACGTGGCTCTCTACCTGGAGCACGGAGCCAACATAGGCCTGCGTACCAGCCAGGGTGAGACAGCCCTGAACTCGGCGTGCGCGGGGGCTGAGGGCCCAGGCAGTGGCCAGCAGCACCAGGCTGCAGCGCGCCGGCTCCTGGAGGCTGGGGCTGATGCCCGTGCTGCTGGGCGCAAGCGCCACACACCGCTGCATAACGCCTGTGCAAACGGCTGCGGGGCCCTGGCCGAGCTGCTGCTACGCCACGGGGCCTGCGCTGGAGTCCCCAATGCAGCGGGCCACACACCCATGGACTGTGCGCTGCAGGCTGTCCAGGATGTTCCCAACTGGGAGCCTGAGGTCCTCTTCACGGCGCTGCTGGACTACGGAGCCCAGCCTGTACACCCTGAGGTGCGCAGGGAGGGCCTGTGAAAGAAGGCTTCAGTTGGGTCGGGGGAGTCTGTGTGTGGCATTGCCTTGCCACAGGGGAAGAGAAGGGGTCAAGAGACTGAGATCCCACCCTCTGTGGCCAGAGGTTTGTCCCCGCTTGGGAAGGACCAGTGAGGGTTATGGGGGAGGATATCCAAGGGAGGAAAGGAGTCCCAAGGAAACTGATTGGAGCCAGAAAGTTCTGGAACAGGATTAATAGAGACTAAGATTTTAGCCTCCGAAATTTGAGTGCAAGTGGGGCTTTGGCTTAGGCTGGATTTAGGTCTGCCCCTGGTTGAGAGAGGCGTGATGCCCCTGAGACCCTCTTTTGATTCCTAGATGCTGAAACACTGTGCCAACTTCCCTCGGGCCCTGGAAGTCCTACTTAATGCCTACCCTTGTGTCCCATCCTGTGATACCTGGGTCGACTCGGTGCTCCCAGAGCTGTGGCAGGTATGTCCACCCTAGGGGCACAGATCCTTCCTGGACTCGAGATACAAAGGAAGATTGGGCCCTTGGCCTATCACTACAGGATGGGCTTCCTGGAGGGAGGAGCAGGAGCCCCCCTACCCCCTAGCAGCTCAGCATAAGCTCTACTTCCACACATTTCTTCAGCCTCTCTTCTCACCTACATCAGCACAGACGTTTTTCAGGCATCCCTGACTCAGCGGGGACTGTGCCAGCATCTTTTGAGTGGGGGTGGGTGCAAACACAGCTGAGACCCGGCTCTGCAGTGTGGTCCCAACTCCCATGTCCCTTACAGGGCCTCTCTGGCTCTGAATCTAAGTCCTTCAGGATGCGCCAAATTTTGCAAGTTGCAAAATCCTAGGGCCCTACCACTAGATGGCCCCCCGTTGGAAAGGCAGAGTCAATGGTATTGGGCCATCTGACCCTGTTCCACTCCTGGCCTAGGAGCATGAAGCCTTCTACAGCTCTGCCCTGGGCATGGTGAACCAGCCGAGGAGGCTGCAGCACCTGGCCCGACTGGCTGTGCGTGCTCAGTTGGGTAGCCGCTGCCGACAAGCCGCGGCCGGCCTCCCACTGCCTCCGCTCCTCAGGGACTACCTGCTGCTACGTGTGGAGGGGCGCATCCAGTGAGCACCATGCCTGGCTGCTCCCACAGCTTGTCTTGCTTTCTCCATCTGTTGTCCCCCCCCCCAACCCTAGAGGGCCAATTCCTGGCCCTCTGTCCATACTCCACATACCCTACTGGGCTAGCTCACCCCTCCACTGGTTTCTTGAGCCAACTGCTGACTTCCAACCTGTCCTGAGCTTCAGCTCCTCTCTCCGACGCGAAGGTCTGCAGACGCAGCCTTCGCCCACATCCTCTTCTTTGCTTAAGTGGATGCTGGCCCCTCTGTCTACCCAGGCCCCACACCAGGAGGTAATGATCCTTGTTGCCCCCCATCCCCTGCCACCAATGTACCTGTTCAGCTCCCAAAGAGTGACAGACTCTGCCTCTAGCTGAACTGCCTCTGCTCAACCTGTCATTGTCACTTGAAGGGAGGACCTCATTGACTGGTCTTGCTTCCCTTTGCTTCTAGGTGTTTGCATGTGCTGTTCCCCAACCTTACCCTTCCCACATTTTTTTGCCCTGGTCAAAGCTGATTTGATCCTCAAGACCGCTCAATAGCACTATTTGACCAACCTAGCAGGTAGCCTTCCTTGGTATCATACTTATTTAATTAAGAGCCTGTGTCTGCCTCAACTGTATTCCTTGAACAGGCATTTCAGTAAATGGGTCTTGAGGGAGGAATAAATGCATGATGCCTGGGACCCATTTATGGTTGTGTTCTTCCCCCCCCACCCAAGTGATGCATGGTGTCTTAAACAGTGGTCACCACACTCATGATCTCTGAGGGACGACCAGCCACCAACTGTCCTCCCTCTCTCTCTCACTTCTTTTGGTCCCAAAGTCGAATGTACCACCATTCATCTTTAAGAGGAAGCTTTTTAAACCAAGCCACTTTTTATGAACGCAAATAAATGATTTGTGCACAGAACTAATGTGTGGATGTTGTTAGGTTGAAATGTGACTGAGAGACCTATCACTTCATGCTTATTCCCCGCGCGCCCCCACTTTTGTCCTCTTCTGTGGTTCCCAAGATTTCTGCACTGAGCAACTGTTACTCTTGTGATAGGAAAAAGGGTATAAGAACAACACACACAAGACCCCTCCCAAATCCCCAGTCTGTAGTACCCACCACGGGAGTGAACTGAGGAGGGACTCCCAACAGCTTGCACTCCTGTCCTTTTGCTGATGGGTCCTGGGATCTCTAAAGGCCATTACCATTTGGACACCTGCGATAGAGATGAGTCAGGAGTCCTCAGGTTGGCCTCCTGCAGCTGTTGCCCAGCCTCCCCTCCTCTGTGGAGAGTTGTACCTATGGAGATGCCCTTTGACCAACACAGACAGGCTTTTACCTCGTTATGCAGAGCAGCAACCTATCCCTTCTGGACAATATTTTTACTTTAATGTCACAGAGCCAAAGGCTGGAGAGAAAAGGAGGGGACCTTCTCTAATCCTGGGCCCAAGCTGGAAGCCTCATTTTCAGGAAAGGTTGCTAGCTGTCCACTCCCTCACATCAGGCTGACCCCACTGAGCTCAGCTTTTCCTGTTATATTTACTACTACAAGATATCTGTTTAAAGAAAACAAAAGATACATGTGATTATGTATATTATTTGGGAGTAAGAGAAGATTTTCTAGGGTAAAAGCATAAAAGGAAAGGTTAATAGATCTGGATATAGAAAAAGTTTAAATTTGGTTTTATAAAAACACCAAATCGGGCCGGCCAAGTGGCGCGATGGTTAAGAACTGGCTTGTGATGCCAGAGGGCCCCAGTTTGGATCCCACATATGAGGGCCAGTGACACTGCCCTCCACAGCTAAGATGCTGAACAACAGCTCAACCTGGAGCTGGGCTGCCG